TCGAGCCAAAAGGGCACTTTTAGTCCCTTGAAACCTCACCTTTGTACTGTTGCTGTGCCTAAATTATACAAGAAAACAAAAAGCAGAAAGAAGGAAAATGAATAACAGAAAATTGAAGAGAAAAGGCTACACAAAGAAACAAGAAAATTAAAAAAGGACACGAGAAACGCAGAACAAAAGGAAAATACAAAGATACGTGGTTTATTAGCTTCTTTTAATTTCTTAAGAGCTGCCTTCAGGGAACTTTGGTGGACACATACTTAATATCAGAATAAAAAAGATTTCAGCAGTATCTACAGGTGAGTCGTTCTTGTTGTTGTTTATTTTTTTTGACAAATAAAAACGCGTACACAATTAAAAATGTGCTAAGTGCTCAAGATTTTGTAACATTTACCTTTATTGGTTGCTTTGGAGCACTTTCTTCTTTTCCGTACAAACCAAGCTAAGATGAAAGCAATTACAGCACAAAATAAAACTGATCCGAACAGTGCGCCAACAGTGATCCCTGTGGTACCTTAAATGTGAAAAATTTGGAAATAATTGTTACGAGACAAATACAAGGTAAATTAATGCATTAGTTTCCTTAACCAATGACAGCACTTTATCCCTATATGATTCACCTATAAAGAAGTGACTGATCAAGAACCTTGGCCAATGAAAAGGTGATCCCTTGTTAAATCACAGACTACAGATACAGGATTGAATAAAACTAACGAAGGGAAACACCTATGCCACGGTTGTCTCAGGCCAGTGATCATGAAAAGACACACTGTGATTAGTCTTTGCCTATGATCTTTTACAATACAGACCCATGGCTAAGGTAAACCCTGAGAACTTTACGCTCTGATCTTTTTTTCTATTGATTAAAATCAATTTTGTTTCTGGTATAGTCCGTAATTGTGGTCTACCTAGTTTGATAATACCTACTTAAACAAGTGCCTGTTCTGCTTTCAGCTTCTATGGTCAGGGGGAGGTTTGTAGATGCTTAAAATAAAGAAAAAGAATTTCTTTGATAGTAACTTCAATAAGGTACCAAGTTACTGCACGTGTCATTGGAACCTCACATACTACATGTACTTGCAGCGTTCTATTGACGTGTACTCATGGTATTGTTATTCACCGTGACGACGTCCATCTGAAAGAATTGGCACCAAGAGAATTCCATTTTCATCCCATGTTTAAAGAAAG